TGTGTGTGTGTGTGTGTGTGTGTGTGTGTGTGTGTGTGTGTGTGATATTTTCTTGTCTTAGTTTTTTGTAAATATCTATTAGTGGTGGGAGATTATCCGGTCCAGTGGAAACAGCAAACTTTTCTTGTTGTTCCTATTCCTAAACATCAGGCTGTTGTCATTTCCTTACTATTATGAAATACATGACTAATGCAGGCTTGTATATGCACTGCTTTCTTGGGCACTTATGAACAATTCTAGGGTACTTGGTCCTCGGATCATTATTTAAAAAATGAACAGAAGATGGTATCTAATGTCACCTTAACACAAGAAAGCTTCAGGTCCAGAGAGAGAGACCCAGTCTCCAAGGAGTGTGGTAAAGAGCGACAGGAGGGAGCTGGGGTTGGTGGCAGCACACGCCTTTACTTCCAGCGCTTGCGCTTGCGAGAGAGAGGCAGGCGGATTCGTGAGTTCAAGGCCAGCGTGGTCTACTACAGAGAGAGTTCCAGGGCAGTCAGGACCACACGGAGAAAACTTGTCTTGGGGATGGATGGATGGATAGATAGATAGATAGATAGATAGATAGATAGATAGATAGATAGGAGAGAATTATGCCTGATACTCTCTTTTAGCCTTTGCCAAAAATGCACACAAATGTACACATCACACACTAGTGATGATGATGATGATGACAAAGATGACAATGGTAAGAATAACAGTATTAATAATGAATAATGCCATTGAGAAGCGAGTGTGTAATGGGTGGTCCACTATCTCTGCTCTCAGTGACTAATACTCTCTCCCCGACTCACACTTTGTCCCTGTCTCAGGGCTTTGTGGAAGCACTCACTCGCAGCCAGCCCTGATGGAGCCCTCGTCCAATCCCCTTTGTGGTTTCTGCTCCAAATGTTTTCCCTTACAACGTAACAACAGGACCTTGTCATCCCAACTGTACTATTTGAAATTTCGTGAATCAATTAACCAGTGTTAGTGTTGGGGATCAAACCCAGAGAGATCCTCTAAGCATTAGGTAGCTGAGCTACCCCTGCCAGCTCTGCTGGCTCTTGAATCTCACCACCTATAGGGCCTGAGACCGAGCTCTGCCCAAAGTCAACACTGCCATGTTGGTTTAATCAGATAAGGATCCCCACTCAGCTCCCCGCCAGGCAGCTCCCATATTACGGTGTGCCCTACCTGGCTCTGAAAAACACCTCTCCACTTAGTTTCTACAGATTTAATGAGTATGCTGTTTACATCCTGTCCCAGATAATTAATGGAGACTGTAAAAAGAGAAAAAGGAAAGAAAAGGGAAGAAAGGCGAGACCTGCTGAACACAGATCCCACCTCCTTGAAGCCTAGTCTGCTGCGATTTATCACGGCGCTCTCCTTCCTCCAGGCAGTTTTCAATCAATCTGACACATTCGACTCAATCCGAGTTCCTTTCTGGGCTCCATTCCATGAGACTTGCCATCAATCCTTCCACTGACGGCTAGGTGTATTTAGAAATGATAATATAACCACTGTCCTCCTTTTGCCTATTGTTTTGTGATTTTTTTTAAAAGCACAAAATCAATTAATTTAGAGCAACCAAAGAAGCTATAAAAACCGTATTGTCCGTGGCTCATGGCTGCAACGTCCCACACACCTTCATATGTTTCTTCCAGTTGTTCTGTATTTGTGTGCAATGTTGCATCCTAATTTCTCTATGCATTCGGCAAACACTCGTGCATTACTTACTGAGGGAAGCTAGCATGTTTGGAATTGACCTGGGATGGGTTTGATTTGGAAATTAACTATTCAGGGTCTCGTCGATGAAAGATTACAGAGTAGGGTCTCTCCACACCGATATCGGTACTACACATTATCAATACCGGGACACAGAAGGCTGGAAGAGGAAGAAACCTGTGCGGCCTCTTACTGGCAGCCATGCTCAACAGATTCCCTGGGTAAGAAATCTGGACAAGATGGCTAATGGACGCTGACACGGGAAATCTGTGTGTTGATTGCTTGTGGTATCTGTGCCAGGGATATTCTGGACACGTTAGGGTTGAGTTTGCATCCTCTCTCTCCCCTCACCCC